ATTTGGGCATCTTTCTTTCTCTCTCTCAGATTTGCGAACGAGATTGAGTCGGGCCGAATCGAGTTGCAGAGTTACTCTGACGAGTTGTTGCTCGGGTGGAGTCGAAGAAAAGTCAGACCTCGAAGAAGAGCCAGAGTTACTCTGTGGAGGTTCAACTCTAGTTTCTCCAGGTATGCTACCTTGAACGATTCCCTGTTCTTCATCGATGGCCATATATGCATCTCTCTCTCTCTCTCTCTCTCTCTGTATATGTATCTAAGAGCGTATATTAAATATATAGACTCACACAATGATCATTCATTCAAGGTTTTTATTAGAGTTGATGTATAAAGAGAGAAATACAGAGAGAATAAATTGTATGTATTATGATTGATATTTTTTGAATGTTACAATGATTCCTATATATATAGAAGAGTAGGTGGTAGCAGGTGGTAGGTGGAGTAGGTGAAGTGGAGGTGGTAGGTAGAGTAGGTGAAGTGGAGGTGGTAGGTGGAGTGTAGGTATGTTTACAATTTACAATTTACATTAACAGCCCCCCTCAAACTCAAGGAGGATAGGTACTAGCCAACTTGAGTTTGGAGAGAGTAACAAAACAGAAAAATAAACTAACAAATAAAATTAAAAATGGGATAGGAGACACTGTATGGTCGTGTCAGACCGTTGTAGAAGACTGTATGGTTATGGCAGACTGATGTAAAAGACACTGGCTCGTGTCGGACCGATGTAGAAGACAGTTTATGGGGTCATGTCGGACCGGTGTAGAAGACAGTTTACGGGGTCATGTCGGACCGTTGTAGCAGGACAGTTTACGAGGTCGTGTCGGACCGGTGTAGAGACACTGTGTGGTCGTGTCAGACCGATGTAGAAGACAGTTTATGGGGTCATGTCGGACCGGTGTAGATGGACAGTTTACGAGGTCATGCCGGACCGATGTAGAAGCTGACCGGAATCAATGTCGGGACAGTTTACGGGGTCATGCCGGACCGTTGTAGAAGATTTTGGTGGTGCACCAAGGGGGTGACTTAGGGAGTGCGCCATGGGGTGGCGTGGGTGGTTCCCATGGTATATAACCATGCTCACCATGATTATGTATAACCCCCCCTCAAACTCAAATATGTGTGAAGATAGAAACCGATTTGAGGTTGAAACAAAGGGAGTGATAAAGCTGACCGTTGTAGAAGACACGGTATGAGTGTGTAGATAGGCTGCCCAAAAGATATACATGTAGATAGATATATCGAGCCCTCAAAAGTCGCGCCATCAAAAGGCATGCCCAATCTTTCAAAAGGCGTGCCATCAAAAGGCGTGCCCAATCCATAAAAAGGTGTGCCGGACATTATGGCGAGGCGCGTGACTACCTTGGCTTGCGCGCCCGTTTTGTCGTCTGTCGGCAAGTGGCGCGCGATGCGCGGATCGGCCCTGGCTATTTAAACCAAGGGTGAGGCGGAGGCTGTGCAAACCAGTCTAAAATCTCTGAACTCTCGGAGAGCTTGTCTCTAAGAGCTGCAAATCTTGAAACACTTTGTAACCAACCCTGTCTGACAGTACCAATCGGTAATCGCTGCTTCTCTAAAACACTTAGCAACCCAAAAACATGGCCTCGTCTTCCCGTTCAGCTACCCAGAATATGGCCTCTTCGTCCCGTGGTCTGCTCACTCTCTTTCCCGACCTCAACGAGTCAACAAGAGAGATAACTGGTGCGGTGGCCAGTGAACCTCAACCAAGCGCCTCTGGTTTTGCTCCGTTGAACTTTCCGATGCGGTCGGTGGAGCAAAAAATGGCGGTGCAAACTGATATTGAGGCCAATCAGTATACTTTGAAGTCATGCGTGGAAACCATGACGGCGGTCACAAACCTGTCGCACCGACTGCAGAGTAGGACAAATGAGGTGCAGCAGTTAAACGCCCAACTGGCTCTGCT